AGCAGGAATCCTACTGCCAGGGCTGAGCAGGGATTCTGGTCTATCCAGGCAGGGTTCACAACAGGTATAAAGAGGGGTACACTGTGCCCTGCTATTTATCCATGTAAAGTGGGAGTGCATGGTGGCACAGTGGGGAGTCCTTCTCTGGAGGCAGCAGGGTAGTAGCAGCGGAGCTTGGGCTGCTCCTGGGTGCTCTTGCTGCCCATCCCCAGTGCCGTTGCTGCTTCTGCTTCTGCTGGGGGCAGAAAGGGAGACTCTGGCGTGCGCATGCACTGGGGTAAACGAAAGGGGTGAGGGCATGGCCACTTGCTGCTTCCCTGCTGCCAGTTCTGTGCTATGATCCCATAAAATATGGGACAGTTTGCCCCTGTAACAGAAAGCTGGGACACTTGGAAAAAAGGTTAAATACGCAGCACGTCACTTATATATTGATGCATATAACAACATTCATACGGCACGGTTAAAAGGGGTTCTGAGTATGCTAGAGGGCTTAGGGTTTGGGCAATGGGTTGGGGTGTTGGAGTGTGAAGGCTCTGAGGTGGTCTGGAGAGGAAGGGCTTAGAGAGCAAGGATTAAGGGTTAGGGTGTGAAAGCTCTGGGGTGGGCTGGGGATGAGGTGGCTGGGCTGAGCTGCTGCTGCTGCTGCTGCAACATGGGAGAAATCTGGGTTAAATGGGCCACGTTGGGAAGGAGTTTTGGCTGCCCAGACCACTCCGATCGCAGCAAGGGGGAGTGAGGGCAATCCAGGAATGGATGGCAGCAGTTCAGGAATGAACCACATGGGCAGCTCCTTGACAGCAGGGGGGCTCTGGGGGCCAGGCTGCTCCAGTCACAGCAGACAGGCCTGAGGCCAGGCCATGGCTTCCTTCGGGCTCAGGAAGATGTCTGGTTCAGACTTGGACCACTGAGCTGGAGGCTAGGCAGTGGGTTGAGTGCTTCTCTCTCTCTCTCCCCGCCCCCCCAATTCTTGCAGACACAAGGCAACCGTGCATCTTACAGGGAACTAAGGGTGAGACCATTACATATCACTGCTAATTGTTAAGAAGTTGGAACTGTGGGTGTGCTATTTTCACACTTTTTAAAAATACAGAAAAATTATAATTTAAACCTTGATTATCCATAATTCAGAAATGCTCTCCAAACAATCTGAATAATTGGTTTACCTATATTGGAATCTAATTGTGTATTTGAAGGAGGGGAAAAAAAAGAAACAATAATTTTAGGATTACATTCCTTCTTTCCTGGCTGGAAGTTGTGGGTGGTTACTTTGCAAACTGCTTTCGACTCCCTGAATGTGTCCGTATCCCAAATGAGGCCTTGTCCACACTTACCAGGATATTGGCGTTGCAGGGATCGATTCCCCTGGGGGTCGATTGAGTGAGTCTGTACTAGACCCGTTAAATTCAGTGCTAATAACTCTATTGTCAACTCCGTACTCCACCAGATGGAGAAGCATAAGGGGAGTGTATGGGAGAAGCTCTCCCATCGACATTATGGTACCTCCATCTAAGGAACATTGACTCCAGCTTTGTAGTTCATGTAGCTGGAATCACATGCCTTAATTCAACCTTGTCCTCTAGTGTAGACCTGTCCTAAGCTTCACTGAAGGAAAAATGATGTTCCCTCTGTCTTCATATCTAAAGAACCATCTTAGGGAGCAATGGAGGAGGGAAGGTGTTTTAACCATCACTTAAAGGGTTCTTAACTCATCCCACCAATTAAGGTGAGCAACTGCAGATGTGAATTGGAAGGAAGATGAAAAGTGTGGACAAAGTCATCTTTGATGATATGGATTCCTTAAAGCAGGGGTGGGGAACCTTTTTTGGGTCAGGGGCTACTGACCCACATAAAAATCAGTCGGGCCCAGGCTAATAGATTTTGTGTGCTCCAGCCCCGCAAGGAAAACAGCAGGGGGGCTAAAGGGGAGCCCTGAGCCTCAGGGCCAGATCCAGTTCCCCACCCCTGCCTTAAGGAACTCCAAGTTAGAAACATGGAAAAGAGCCTGATCCCTTTTCGTATAGTTAGTTGCTTTCTGCATTTTGACACTACTACCTGGGGCAGCCCAGGGGTAAATTTCCCCCCACTGCCCTCACCGCATCACTTGATCTCTTGGGAATCATTCCTCTGCCCTGTCTCAAGCGCCTTTCCTTCAGACAGTCCATATGAAGTTGTCTTAATTGAACTGAGAAATTTGCATCAGCCTGCTGTGGTAACATGTTTGACAGGGTAAACTATCCATAAAGAACACTTCTTTTTAAAATAAGTTTTAATACATTAAGAACTGTTTAATTTTGAGTGTCACTTAACGTTCAATGACTGCTATCTTGCACTAGCGGGTTTTCAATACTTGATAGATTTCTTTTTTTTAATTGTTTAAGATTTTACCATTTTAATGCCCGTTGAAAGGCATATAGGTCTAAAAATCAACAAATGTTTGCTGCAGATCAGGAATAGGCAATTTTTAATGGGGAGCCACTCCAAAGATTTTGGCAGGTGGTCAAAGGCCGCAGTTCTATGCAGCAGGTGTGGGGTCTGGGACGAAGGTTGTGTGCAAAAAGGAGCTTGGGGTAGTGGACTGGGGTGCAAGAGAGTGTGGAGTCTGAGAGGGAGTTTGGGTAAAGGAGGGTATTATGATCTGTGGTATGGGCTTGGGGTGCAAGGTCCAGGAGGGAATTCGGGTGCAGGAGAGCATTCTGGTCTGCAGGAGGGGTTTTAGGAGAGGTTGCAGGGTCTTGGAGGGAGTTGACTGGGGAGAACGGGGTGCAGAGAGTTGGGTGGAGGCCTTTGGCAGGTAGTTGAGGGGGAAGAGAGGGTGAGGTGCCAGAGGCAGGCGCTTACTCAGGCAGCTCTCAGCTAGCAGCCCTGAAGAAACCTGAGGCAGGCTGTCTGCTGCAGGCCAAGTCTGCTGGCTACTCCATCTGGCTCTGCTCCAGGCATGGGGGAGGAAGGCTTCACACGCTGTCCCTACCCCCAGCATAATTTCTCGGCTCCTCTTGGCCAGAAAATGGCCAATGAGAGTTTAAAGATTATACTGAGGGTGGAGCAGAGCAGCACACATTCTCCCTCCTTTCTCCCCAGAGTCCAGAGTAGCTAGCTATTTAAAGCGTGAGCTGCCCTTTGCCTAAGGGTTCCATCGAAGCGGCCATGGGCAGGATCCAGTAGCTTGGTGGGACGGATCCAGACTGCTGGCTGCCTCTTGACTACCCCTGAATCATAGAGCTGGAAGAGACCTCAGGAGGTCATCAAATCCAGGGCCCTGTCAAGCCAAGACTTAAAAACCTCTAGGGATGGAGATTCCACCACCTCGCTAAGTAACCCATTCCAGTGCTTCACCACCCTCCTAAAGAAATAGTTTTTCCTAATATCCAACCGGGACCTCTCCCACTATAACTTGTAGGGTTGCCAGGTGTCCGGTATTCAACCGGACAGTCTGGTTTTTCAGCCCTCTGTCTGGTTTAAAAAAATTCAGAAAATACCGGACATGTGCAGTGTCCGGTATTTTCTGGTTTTCCAGCTGGGTGCCCGACGGAAGCCTGGCAGGGGGGAGTGGCTGGGAGGCGGGGTGCGATCGGCACTGGGAGCCTCTGGTTGCGTCTGACGTAGGAGTTACACCTTGGGGAGGAGGAGAAGCCCTGTCCGTGCTCCTGAGCGCTGTTCAGGCGCATTGTGGAGCCGTAGCCAGACTCCTCGTACTTCGCCGGGACTGTGCACGGGACGGGCAGTGCCCTAGGATCTGCATGCGCCCAGGTCAGTCCCGTTCCCCGCTGGCCGATTCTCTCCCCCCCACTCCCTCCGACCCCCCTCCTG